TCTCGCGCGAGAATGTTGGGACGCCGGAAACTAAGCCCTGCCCTGATTTCTCTACGGTTGTGTCGGTTTACCGTCCCATCGGAACATGAGAGTGAGGGAATAGAGAGTACACCTGTGCTTGCGCATACACTTGGGCACTATAATCCCGTTCTGCGCCGATATATATATATATATATATATATATATATATATATATATATATATATATATATATATATACAGAATGGGTCCCACATATATGCAATAAATGAAAACAAGTAATACTAGTCCGTAGAAGTGTAGAAAAATTAAATATTTAATTAAAACCCGGAAAAAAAAAACAAGTGAAATTTTCAAACAAAATAAATATTAAAATAAATTCAGTAAAAGTGAACACTCTGTTTAGACAACGTACCTTGACCCCTTGGAAGAGTGACAACGTTGCACGCGGGTGGCACGCCGACAAAAGACACCGCTGTCGATATGTCGCAATACCAATAGTTTGCACTGCGTGGCAACGTCGCTTTTTAATGTTCAAGGATTCAAGTTCATTGAATCATTGACTTAGTGACCCAATTCTATAGTGTTCAAATTTGCTTAAAATTAAAACTCTACTTTTTGACCTAATTACTGGACCGATTACGTTCATTTTTTGTATATCGTCAGCAAAGGCGATAACAAGTATATGGTTTCATTTATTGCATATATTGCCGTGTAGTGGCGGTTAAGAATATCCACTACCCCATATCTTCCCGTGGGTGTCGTAAAAGGCGACAGAGGGAGACAGGCAGGAGATGGGCAGCAGCATCTTCCTGATAACAGCAACTGTACGATAAAAAAAAAAACTGCGGTTGCCAACCCGCTCGCCAAGCGTGGCAACTATGGCAATATACCCCCCCATGAACAATTACACAAATAGACGGCCCCCAGTCCCCGGCGGCTCCGCTATTCCTGGCTACGGTGGCGACCATGGTAACGGCGGGGCAGGGGGTGCTAAGAATCTCCGGTGGAGGTTCGGTTGCCACCTACGACGACTCGACCTGGCAACATTTAACGCACGCACACTGAGGACTGACGAGAAGATCCTGGAGCTGGAAGAAGAGATAGACAAGTTGCGCTGGAGTATTATAGGATTATCCGAGGTCCGAAGAGAGGGGGAGGACACGGTGATTCTCGAATCCGGCAACTTGTTCTATCACCGGGAGGGCGACCATCTGTCCCAAGGAGGTGTCGGATTTATCGTCCACAAGTCTCTCGTCAACAACGTTGTAAAGATTGGGAGTGTGTCGACGAGGGTCGCGTACCTGATACTCAGAATCACCAAACGGTATTCGCTGAAGGTCATACAGGTTTACGCACCAACCTCGGCACATTCCGATGAGGAGGTGGAGGAAATGTATGAGGATATTTCCAAAGCCATGCATTCCTCCAAAACCCACTACACGGTGTTGATGGGAGACTTCAACGCAAAACTAGGCACAAGAGAAAACGGTGAGCTGAAGTTAGGGAAATTTGGAATAGGGCAACGGAACCGAAGGGGCCAGCAGCTGGCCGACTTTATGGAGAAAGAGGGACTCTTTATGATGAACTCTTTCTTCCAGAAGCGGCCCCACAGGAAGTGGACCTGGTCGAGCCCCGACGGTTCGACAAAAAATGAGATTGACTTCATTATGACGACCAGACGCCAACTGTTCAGTGATGTCTCAGTGATCGCAAGGGTGAAAACTGGCAGCGATCACCGAATGGTTAGAGGCACACTGAACCTAAACGTTAAGTTGAAGAGGTCTCGTCTAATGAAGTCAACGCTCCGTCCCCCTCGTGCTCTAATCCAGAATCCCGAAAACTTTCAGCTCGAGTTACACAACCGCTTTCAGTGCCTACAAGATTGCAATGCAGTGGACGATATGAATGACAAGCTCGTGGAAACTGTCCATGCGGTCGGAGCTAAGTTCTGCAAAACCCGCCGCAGAAGAACACAAAAACTCTCCGATCACACTCTTAATCTCATGGCTGTTAGACGGGAGATGAGGCTGCAATCGTCAACAGATTTGACAGCATACAGGCAACTGAATAGACAGATCTCCAAATGCATGCGGCGAGACTTACGCAACTTTAATACTTCTCGTATTAAAGAAGCGATCGAGCGGAACCAGGGCTCCAAAGTCTTTGCCAGAGATCTGTCTGCCAGAAAGAGCCAACTGTCAAGGCTGAAGACTGAGTGTGGCAACATCGTTTCCGGGACACCTGAGATTCTGAGTGAGATTGAGAGGTTCTATGGGCAGCTGTACACATCATCGTTGGAGCCACACTCAAGTGTGAGTAACGATCCAAGAGCAAGTCTTATCCGACACTATTCCGATGATATCCCGGACGTCAGTCTGAGCGAGATTAGAATGGCTCTCCAACACCTTAAAAACGGCAAGGCCCCGGGCGAGGATGGAATTACAGCGGAGCTTCTGAAAGCGGGTGGAACACCGGTACTTGAAGTCCTTCAGAAGCTCTTCAATTCCGTCCTCCATGGTGGCACTACTCCAGAGGCGTGGAGCAGAAGTGCGGTGGTCTTGTTCTTTAAGAAAGGCGACAACGCTCTCTTGAAGAACTACAGACCGATTTCCCTTCTGAGCCGCGTCTACGTGCTGTTTTCGAGAGTCATTACGAATCGTCTCGCAAGCAGACTCGACGACTTCCAGCCTCCCGAACAAGCCGGTTTCCGAAAAGGCTTCAGTACCATAGACCACATACATACCCTGCGGCAGATTGTACAGAAGACTGACGAGTACAATTTGCCACTTTGCCTGGCGTATGTGGACTATGAGAAAGCCTTTGATTCCGTCGAAATTTGGGCGGTGCTGCAGTCCCTTCAGCGGTGCCAAGTTGACTGTCGGTATATCGAAGTGCTGAAGTGTTTGTACAGTAGGGCTACGATGGCTATCCGAGTACAGAACCAGAGCTCGAAACCTATCCAACTGCAGAGAAGTGTAAGACAGGGTGACGTTATATCCCCGAAACTCTTCACCGCTGCTTTGGAAGACGTTTTCAAGCTACTGGACTGGAAAGGATACGGTATTAACATCAATGGCGAGTACATCACTCACCTTCGATTTGCCGACGATATAGTCCTTATGGCAGAATCGCTGGAGGACCTTAGCACTATGCTCAATGACCTCAATGGTGTCTCCCAACGGATAGGTCTTAAGATGAACATGGACAAAACAAAGGTTATGTTCAATGTCCATGTCACACCTATGCCGGTAGTTGTGGGGAGCACTATGCTCGAAGTTGTTGACGAGTACGTTTACCTGGGACAAATAGTCCGACTAGGTAAGTCCGACTTCGACCGAGAGGTCAATCGACGGATTCAACTCGGCTGGGCAGCGTTCGGGAAATTACGACACATCTTCTCGTCAGGTATACCTCAATCTCTGAAAACTAAAGTGTACAACCAGTGCGTGTTGCCAGTGATGACTTACGGATCAGAGACGTGGTCCTTCACTGCTGGCCGTATGAGGACGCTCAAGGTCGCTCAGCGAGCTATGGAGAGGGCTATGCTCGGAGTTTCTCTGCGTGATAGACTCAGAAATGAGGATATCCGCAGTAGAACCAGAGTGACCGACATAGCCCAACGGATTAGTAAGCTGAAGTGGCAATGGGCCGGCCATATAGCTCGAAGAACCGATAACCGATGGGGAAGAAGGGTTCTCGAGTGGCAGCCTCGTACCGGTAGGCGTAGTGTAGGGCGACCCCCCACTAGATGGAGTGACGACCTGGTAAGATATGCAGGAAGTCGATGGATGCAGGTGGCTCAGGACCGTGCTTTGTGGCATTACTTGGGGGAGGCCTATGTTAAGCAGTGGACTTGTGAAGGGCTGTAATGATGATGATGATATATGTGGGACCCATTCTGTATCTATAATTTTTATTATAATATATATGAGTATTACAATATATTATTTACCCCATATTTAGGACAGTAAGACGTGCTAACGAACACATTTACTTCATTTATTTATTTATCGTTTAATTGTAAACCTTACTAATATGTATATATTTATGGGCGGACATAATGCTTATTGGCATTTACCACCAATTACACAATTCATTAACGCATTGGCAAATTCTACAGTCTGAAAGGCCATGTCTAGCATTGGACTTTTCCGGGCTAATTTAAAACACATTTTTAATTGTAGTCAAATAAATCAGTTCAGGTTAAAATTACGGCTTAATAAGAGCTAAATTGTATGTAAATGTGAAGCTGCAGCTGTATAATAGCTGGATAACAAATGGGGTCGGCTCGATCGAGAAAGTAAACAAAAACACTGGCATAGTATATCAGGGTGAAATAGCTTCAGATTTGTTTCGTATTGTCAATGAACAGAACCGGAGACCCTTTTTCCGACAACGCATCTGTATTTTAAGTATGGTTATACGTTGTCACCCCTGGGGACTAAGATGGAATGTCTCGTTTCCAGTAAAAAAGGGTCTCCGGTTCTCTACACTCACCATACGAAACACAGCAGTATTAAGCTGCTATTTTACGCTGGTATTCTATGAGAGCGTGGTCCTGCCCCGGTCGAGCCGACCCATTCGTGCTATAACTATAATTCTAATATAACTGCAGCATGACTCTACCACGTTTAGATTAACATTTGGATCCGGTAGGTGGCGCTGTTGTCGAGATCTAGAAAGCATCCATGCAAAGCCTGGGCGGATTGCAAGTATTATATAAAAATAACAACATAATAAGGAACATGCATTACTCTACATAGTCTCTACATACATACCCTACTTACTCTACTCTACATATCTACTTTAAACTTGTCTCATAATTTAAAAAAAATGCACAACTTTGAACAGGCAAACATAAAGCAAAACAAACTAAATTCTACAGTAAAATAACTAGGTATTTCATAACATATCTTTTTTTCAAAATACTAATACTAAAGTGTTAATACGTTAAAAAATAAAAATATTACAACGTAGAAACATAACAAAACAAAAAATAAAACTTAAAAATTGCTTACAGTGACTCAAAAAAGTTCATCTGATCAAGTGGGTTGGTACTGGTGGTGGAAAAAAAAAATAAAAATTAGTGCGCTATAAAAATATGGATAATGCGGGATCGTTATGTTACTTACTGTAGCTTTTCGAGGTTGAAGTTTGAACCCGCGCCCGTTATATAAGGGACATAGCCTTTATTCACATGGGAGGGAGGATTTCCATAAATCATGTAAATTGTCCGTCTCAAATAATAATCAACAAAAAAGCGCTTAACTAAAAAAAATATAATGCACTGTACTTTGCATATTGAAATTTAAAAAAAAAATATCATCTTTAACTCTATAATTGCACAATTAAGGTCTGTCATCAGCCTCATATGGACGACACACACGGTCAGTTCAACTGATCAGTTCAAAGTAGGACTGTTAATATTTTTAAAATATCGGATTTTCGCTATATCGATAATTACATAATCAATATCGGAGTTTTATACATAAGTTTATTTATCGATATATCTAAAATCCGATATAAAAAAAATATCAACAGTCCTAGTTTGAACTGATCAGGTGGAATGATCAGTCGTCCATTATACGTAAAAATTTTTGACCTGTTTCTATTATTAATATAGTGCAAACATTTGCCAGACGTGAAAAATAATCCAAATTCAGTATGATACGATTTTACAATCACTATCTGTATTAATGACTAATAATTGGCGAACAAACAAACATCGACGTTTTTGTATGATTTACATAGTTTATGGAAATCCTTGTACATGAAAAATATAAAACCAACACCCGTTGTAAACTGAGCCTAAAAAAAGCAAAGCAAGTGACACTCTGAATATAATTGACAATGGGTGCGTTTGGCAGAAAAAAGCGCTAGCAAGCGCTTGTAAGCAAAATGGCGATCGTAAGCGGTAAGCGCTGTCAAATCGTAAGTAGCTATTTTCCTCCAGGACACGATGTTAGTTTTAACCGGGGAACCTAACCTAATTTAAATATATGTTTGTAAAGTATTCATATTAAAAACTTACCAATCATGAATTTTTAATAACATGTATATGTTTATTAACGTTATTATTTTACTTATAACTAATATTGCACAAAACAACTTATAAACTCTACTTCAAAACAAACAAATTAAATAAGCAAAATGGCGGATTGTGTCAGCGCTATTGAAGTAGAAATCGTGTCCTGGCCGAAAACTATTTCAGCGCTTGTAAGCGCTTGCTAGCGCTTTTTTCTGCCAAACGCACCCAATGATAATGCAAGATTGCAATGACTTGCATTGCACATTGTTTTGGACATTTTCGTTCTCACTGCCGGGCAAGTTGACTGGCATTGTACTTAAAGAAATAGATAGCATTGAAGTACAAAACACAAATAGGTTTACGAGATGGCTAATATGTTTAATAAACCCAATGTTAAAATATATCAATTACAGTGGTCTTCGGTATGTGTAGGTGATACCTCGAAAATTTGATGGTTTATCTATTTCACATATTTTAGGTTTTACAGATTACGAATCAAATTTTATTGGTATATTATTTTCGACGATAAAAAGGAAAAAAACGATATCGTGTAATTTTCTCGATAGAAAAAAACTTGTATGTAGGCTCTAATTAGTTACATTTCTCCATGCCACCACAATATTTTTTACGAATAAATCTATGGAAACATTTTTAAAGCATAGTAAATAATCATATCTAAGTTCTCATAAACTATTTTTTAATTCATAAGAAATTTAAAAACAAAATGTTGTGACTTACTTAGTTTATTTACAAGTGCGTGCTCGGTATAACTATCTCATAATTTGCGTACATGAAGTACATTGCAATACTGTTATTTTGATACTCCCTCAGTCGTCCGTGAGCTTCACCGGCAAAAAGCTAAGCCACGCCCCCAAAACTACGATAAATTTTCGAGGTATCCTCTTAACAATGTAAACACTTTCTTGGTTATCTGATTTCATTGCTTGCCATAGAAGGGTCAAAAATAATTGGCATATATCGATAGTAGTATCTTTACTATTGCGAACGTCACTTTTGATGTGATCATAAGGACTGATAACGATTGAAATCCCGAAAAAATAATTTACATAGCGCTTTCTGAACGCTTTAATAAAACGTAGTGTAACGTTATAATAATGTTTAAAAAACAATAAAATCTATTAGTATTTTAGCCATCTCATGCAGCCTGGGATTTTTTATAAGAGAAATCGTTTCATTTTGCCCTCGTTCGTTTAAATTACATTTTTTTAACTTTTTTTATTTAACAATGGTATAATCATTACTAATATTCCCCTGAACCACTCGTGGTAAGTTTAATTGCTTGTGTTACGAGTGGTTCACGCCAGTAGCCGAATGGCGGATTCGAACCCACGAACTTTTGAGTTCGCGGTCCGCGCCCTGCCATTAGGCTACTGTCGCTTCATACGTGCAATAGCAACATTATCGTTTCTATTGCTGCATTCTTTAGCTCATGGCGAGAAAATAAAGACAGTATATGAAGTAGGCCTTACACGTCTAGTGCTGGACATTGTAGCAGTTATCGAGGACATGTTTGTCAAAGATGTTGAAGTGACCATACCTGCGCGCGGCCCAGAAGAATCCCGCAGAGTCCACGGGCTCCAGCAGGCGGGGCGTGGAGGATCCGAAGGCGAAGGCCGGCCGGGGAGTGGAGCGAGCAGCTCTGGCACGTTCTAGCCGATCTGCGCGCTCCTTTTCTCGTTGAAGCAACGCCTCGCGGCGTGATACTGATGCTTCCCATATCGCCCGTTTGCGTTCTTCTACCTATGTACAAATTGAAAACATAAATAAACATTTTTAATAAATTGACGTGAAAAACGAACTCACAGTCTGCCTGATCTGACATCCAACTTTAAACAAAGAGAGCTAGAGTTATCATCTCCAAGGACTAAATGAAATGCGTCACAGCGTGTAAACTTTCTCTACACTTCAGACCAGAACATCACAGCGCGCGCATTGTTTGCTTGGCGACAGAAATATGTGTAATTGGGTGGTACCTATCCATAAGGACTCCTAACATCTCGAAAAGTTAGAGTGTCCTGTTATATATATATATATATATATATATATATGTTTATGTTATTGATATCCTGTTTTGTTCCATAAAGATCTTAACAGAGACTTGCCAAACACGGAGGACATAGTAAAGTGCTTCAAGAATTTGAGGATACAGATGCACTCTCTAATCTTTCAATTTCCGTATTTAGGAAAACGGTCACCCATACAATGACTGGACGCGGCAAGTGCAGCTTCATCTCGCAGACCTATTGATCCGCGCAGCTGTTACTTAACCACGAGTTCCTCTTTTCTACGACTAACGCTGGCGATAAACCACGATATCAAGTATGAATCGGGCATCAATCATGGATCGGGCATCAAGCGTTTTAAGTATCATAGAATACTTATAATACATACATAATGTAACAGCGGAGTGGGCGGAGCCCGTGTAGCCACTAACATGTCAATTCACGCCTATAAATGTCAATACAATCAATCGTTTCCAATTTTCGTGTCAAGCGTTGCTGCAAACAAATTATTTGAAAAATGGCAAATTGTGCATACAAATAATTACGTGTAGAAAGAACAACGGGAAATAGAATTTAAATAAAGGAGATATATTCTACAACCAGTAAGTCGAAACTATTTATATTTTATGAATATGAGAAACAAAAATAAAGAAATATTTATGTGTCAAAAAAAGTTTTAAATGTGTTTGTAGTAGTGATAACTGATAATACGACGTAATTGCTTGTATGTGTGCTCCTGGCGACGCTGATCCTCGTACTAAATAAGATTGACAGCCATTCTATTGTGTATTATAGTATTCTACGGGTTAGTCGATAATCACACACATCCATACAAATAAATAAAATTGAAGTATATGTTTGTAATTTCAAAATAACAGCTCTTTACTTAATGCATATGAAAGTATATACCTACAGTACTTTATAACAAAAAAAAATTTTTGAAATTTTTGTCTGTCTGTCTTTGTCTGTTTGTTCCGGCTAATCTTCGAAATCTCTAGACCGATTTTGACGGAACATTCACTGGTAGATAATTGATCTTATAAGGAGTAACTTAGGCTACTTTTATATAAGAAAAATAGTTATGGTCCGAGCAAAAAAAAACCTGAATTACAATCATAATAAATTCCCGCGACTTGCCTAGCCCGGAGCACTTAGTAAACAATAAAATATTGGTAATGAAAAAAAAATTGAAAACCTAAACTTTTAATAATCAAGCTATCCCGTTATTATCGACGCTTACCGGACACTGGAATGCGGATGATCCTCAAGGAAAAGGAGTTATTTGTGTCTCAGCTCCATAATGCCGCTTTTAAAAATACTCTCCCGTACACACCACCGCCGAGGTATTTCCGCGTAAACGTTGAGGGGACGCTGGAGATGTTTAGACGTTCTACTGTTTTATCTAATAGCATGGTGAGAGATTGTAGAGTTGGTCATATCTCTACATATTTAGCCGATTTCAAAAAAGGAGGTTCACAATTCGATTGTACGTTTTTTATTGTATGTTTGTTATGCGATAACTTCCGGGACCCGATTTTAAAGATTCTTTTTTTATTAAATAGTTTAACTTCAGGGATGGTCCCATATAAATTTGGAGAAAAAATTTCACCCCTAAGCGTGGCAATTAAATAACTTCTTTTTTAGCCCTTTTTTATAAGCTTTTATTTTTTATTAAAAGTTATAATTATTAAGTAAACAATATTCTTTTGTATATATAATCTGTAATTCTTGTATTGTGTACAATCATCATCATCATTACATCCCTTCACAAGTCCATTGCTGAATATAGGCCTCCCGCAAGGAATGCCACAAAGCACGGTCCTGAGCCTGGTGTACAATAAATAATATTAAATAAATAAATACTAGCTCTCTTTATAATTAATAGACCTAAGGGTGACCAACGAATACACTGTCTAGTTGGTAGAGAATGCGGTAGCCCATAGACATATTTATCATCGTCAAGTTGTCAACCTCTGAGGACTATGATAGAATGCCTCGTTAATAATAAAAAAATTTTTGTTTATAGAATAAGGATGTCAAACGAGCACAGTCCACCTAATGGTAAGTGGATGGTGTGGCCCATTGACATCTACATCTATCTTATAAAGCATCAATCTTTGCCAACTCTGAGGACTAAGATGGGCATTCCATTGGTTCTCAGTAAAAAAGCGTCTTCTATTCTTTACATTTTACGTTAGTATCCAATGCTGATCGACACCTAAATTGTTAGATCACTGAAGCTCATAGGAGTTCTAGATATCTTTATGTTACAAAAATGAAGTGGCATACTAACTTACTTGTAACAGAACGCGAGTTAACCCGGGTTTGATCCCCGCCGGTTCCAATTAAATTGTTAAATGCAATTTTAAATGCTGATTTACCACGTGCTCGGCGGTGAAGGAAAACACCGTGAGGAAACCTGCATGTCTGAGGAATAAGAAAAAAAATATTTCGAAAACAAGTGAAGTTCGCCAACACGCATTGGGGCCGCCCGCACGGAGGACACTTCCTTGCCTTGCTTAGTAGTAAATTAAAGAAAAGTTACAGCCTATATACGTTCCACTGCTGGGCACAGGCCTCCCCTTATTTCTAAGAAGGTTTTAGGGCAAGGAAGTGTCCGCCGTGCTGCCCCAATGCATGTTGGCGAACTTCACATGTCTTCAAAATATTTTTTTCTTATTCCTCAGACATGCAGGTTTCCTCACGATGTTTTCTTTCACCGCGAAACAAGTGGTAAATCAGCATTTAAAATTGCAATTAACACAATTTCATTGGTGCCGGCGGGCATCGAACCCGGTTTGCTCGCATACTGTGAAATTTACAACGAACGCTAACCATTTCAGCTATCACAGCTTTTGTAATCATCACGTTATTACTAATTATTGATGTTTGTTTGGTATTCTGCTTGTTGAAATTTAGAAGCGAAATGACATACAAAATATTACTAGATAGATATTATCCGACTTAAGGGGAAATATAATGTCAAATGGCTTAGCAAGATCCTTCGTTATGCCGAAAATATTGCAGCATTAATTTTGAAATAAATATATGGTAAAGTTGAGGATTAATGTTAATGGTTATGTTAGACGAAAACACGATTTCGTAAAATTTTCTCGATAGAAAAAAAATTCAAAGTTACCTCCAAAATAAACAATAAACCGCTGTTATTCATAAAATACTTTAAATAAGATCATGAAACTTTGCATACTAACTGAACTAACTATAAAGCAGTGCTTATGTTATTTACTTTTTTTAAAATACCATTATTTTCACTGTAAAAAGAAATTACCTAAACTATCGGCGTCTTGAGCTTGATTCCTGTCGCACCGTTAGTATCGCTTAGGCTTTTGAAGGGAGAAGTTGTGTCGCTTACGAACAGAATATACATTACGCAACAGTACGACGTAAAATTAAAATGGGAAATAACCGTGATAAAAATAAGAAGCGGCTGGCTTGGCGTTAAGAAACAGGCATAAATATGATAAACCTAATGAAATAAGTGTCTAACGACCTTTCTACTTACAGTATTAGTGATTACAAACATACCGGTACATAGCATACGACGCGCGGGGAAGTGGGGGCGAAATTAGAATTTGAGCTGACTTACTCTATCCTCTTAAGTCGTCCGCCTACACTAGCTCAAGTACAAGATGCGCACATTGAATGATAATTGAAGCGTGGACTAGGTTATGTAACTCGCGGCCGGGTCACCCAGTGTGCAGAGTTGTCTTGAACAATCATTGATGACCTATTATTATTAACTCGCCCGTCCAATCGACTTGCTGTAACTAATTATATAGATGTCTCGGCAAGTGGGTCAGCTTTTGTTGCAAATTAGTATATTCTTTGTATATAGAGCCACGCTGCAGCTATATTATTATGGTTGTAGCACAAATGCGTCGGCTCGAGCGGGGAAGGACCACGCTCTCACAGAATACCAGCGTAAAATAGCAGCTTAATGCTGCTGTGTTTCGTATGGTGAGTGTAGAGAACCGTAGACCCTTATTACTGGAAACAAGGCATTCCATCTTAGTCCTCACTGGTGACAATGCATCTGCATTTTGATTTGTAATCGAGGACAGGTGTACATGTCTATGGGCCGCAGCAACCACTTACCATCAGGTGAACTGTGTGCTAGTTTGTCATCATATCCTATTAAAAAAAAAGATTTCTCTTGAAGTATTAAAGCTGTGAAAGTTAGTGGATGTAGATGCATGCGAAGATTTATAGTTTTGACGATGTGATGTGAATTGTTGAGTGTGTGTGTTGAGATGTGATACGATATGAATTATGATTAGGGACCTAATACACACCATTTTATCGAGGCAATGCATACTTACCGCAGATCCGTTTTACTGGTAATAAGGCATTGATCTTGATCTTGGCTTTCCTGTAACTTTACTAGTTCTCTCAACTCTTCAGACAGGAACACAGAAATAGGTAACAGGATTGTACCATGGACTACTAGACAGAATATATATATATATATATATATATATATATATATATATATATATATATATCATAGGCCTTAACAAATAACTCGCCACATTCATTCAATTTTGACCGAAGTAACGATAGTCTGCTTAGCTTTGGTACGAAGAATACTTTTGCAACTACCCTATTTACTTATGTGTAATATTTACTAAATAAGTTATTAAGCACTCAATTAGAAAATAAGTTTTAGCGACCTATTATAATACTAGCTCACTACACCAATCGGCTTAATGTTTTTTT